CCTCACTGCCCAGCCCCCTGCTCGCCCAGCCCTGCGCTTCCCCCTTCCCAGCTCTGCCGGTGCCCCTCACTGCCCAGCCCCCTGCTCGCCCAGCCCTGCGCTTCCCCCTTCCCAGCTCTGCCGGTGCCCCTCACTGCCCAGCCCCCTGCTCCCCCAGCCCTGCTCTTCCCCCCCCTTCCCAGCTCTGCCGGTGCCCCTCACTGCCCAGCCCCCTGCTAGCCCAGCCCCGGGCTCCCCCCCAGCTCTGCCGGTGCCCCTCACTCCCACCCGCAGCCCCTGGGACTGCAAAGGGAAAAGGCGAGGAGGGAGCTAGCGTGAAGTTCCTTTGGGATTCTCTTTAGGGCAGCTGCCACTTTGACACCTTGCCAGGGTTTTGCAGAATCCCCCAGCGGCTCTAATCTAATCTCTGCCCCCTGCAGACGCTCTCAGCCGCAGCCCCAGCGAGAGAGCAGGCGAGTTTTATCTGGCAGGGGAGATCCCTTTATGGCTCGATGGCTGGCGTTATCTTATCAGACCTGTGGTAGGGGAACTCTGGGTTAATGTTCCACCGGCTGCTGGCCTGGGAAGGAGTCCAGGGCCGGGAACCGTTCAGGTGCCAGAGGGAGCCCAGGGGCTGGAGGCTGAAATGCAGCCACCTCTGGGGTGGCAGGTGGCAACTGTTTAACAGCCGCACAGTCGCCTAGCAAAGGACGTGAACAGGACTCCCGGGTCGGGCTGAAATTACAGGTATTATTTTAGGGAGGCTGGGTTGGAAGCGGGCCAGGAATGCGGGGGAGGGGCAAAGCGCCCCTTGCTGAGCCCCACCCTGCAGCACAGCGCCCCCTAGTGCCGCAGTGGGGTCAGCCCTGTGCAGAGAGCGCCCCCTGCTGCACAGCCGGTAGATGGCAGGCGAGCAGGACGTGCTGGGCTGGTGCCCTGGGTGTCCTGTAGATGGCAGGGAGGTTGCTGGGGGATTTTTGCCCTCACTGGAGTCCTGGTTTCTCCCCCAGGTTGGCAGCTGTGGCCTGGGGGTCCCACCCCCAAGCCTGCACTGCCTGGACCCCCTCCCGCACTCATGGCACCTGGAGCCCGGGCGACGGCAGCCGGAGACGGAAGGTCATGGCCGTGGGGGCTCTGCTGGGCCTGGGCGCCGGCCTGGCCTACGGAGATCACCGCAGGCGGGTGAGGGAGCTGGGACCAGCGTCATGGGATCGGCGGCTCCCCAGAGCCTCCCTGGAGTGCTCAGCTCTCTGCCTCAGGGCACAAAGGTGGCATGAGAGCTGGATGGGCATCTTGGGGAAGGAGGCATGGTCTAGTGGTTACAGTGGGAGGGGGCTGGGAACCAGGACTCCTGGGTTCTCTCCCATCTCTGGGAGGGGAGTGGGGTCTAATGGTTAGAGCAGGGGGGGCTGGGAGCCAGGACTCCTGGGTTCTCTCCCAGCTCCGGGAGGGGAGTGGGATCTAGTGGTTAGAGCGGGGGGGGCTGGGAACCAGGACTCCTGGGTTCTCTCCCCAGCTCTGGGAGGGGAATGGGGTCTAGTGGTTAGAGCAGGGAGGGGTCTGGGAGCCAGGATTCCTGGTTCCGCTCCCAGTTCTGCCCCTGAGGTGCTGCGTAGCCTGGGGTGCATCCCTTCCCCCCCGAGGCGGGTGAGGCCCTCGGAGGCCTGCGTGGATGTTGGCGGATGCACCTCGAGCCCCTCTCCTTGTCCCTGCAGGCGGCGGAGGCCGAGCCGAAGGCTGAGGCCGTGCCCGGGGCGCCGTACCCCGTGTTCACCCGCCAGGAGGTGGGGCGACACCGCAGCCTGGCCGAGCGGGTCTGGGTGACCTACGGCCGCGAGGTCTTCGACATCACCGACTTCGTGGAGCTGCACCCGGGGGGCAAGAGCAAGGTCCTGCTGGCGGCGGGGGGCGCCCTGGAGCCCTTCTGGGCCATGTACGCCGTGCACAGCCAGGCGCACGTGCTGGAGATCCTGCAGGCCTACAAGGTGGGGGAGCTGAGCCCCGAGGAGCAGAGCCAGGCCACCCAGGGGGACCCCTACTCTGGGGACCCCCCTCGGCACCCCGCCCTCCAAGTCAACAGCCTCAAGCCCTTCAACGCGGAGCCGCCGGCCGAGCTGCTGACCGAGAACTACCTGACGCCCAACCAGCTCTTCTTCAAACGCAACCACCTCCCAGTGCCGGCCGTGGACGCCGCCAGCTACCGGCTGCAGGTGGAGGGGCCGGGGGGCCGCGTGCTGGCGCTCTCGCTGCCCGAGCTCAAGCGCCGCTTCCCCAAGCACGAGGTGACGGTCACCCTGCAGTGCGCCGGGAACCGCCGCTCGGAGATGAGCCGCGTCCGGCAGGTGAAGGGGCTGGAGTGGGGGGTGGCGGCCATCAGCACGGCCCGCTGGGGCGGTGTCCGGCTCCGGGATGTCCTGGCGCACGCCGGCTACAGGGAGGAGGAGGGGGAGGCCGGTGAGCAGCACGTCTGCTTTGAGGGCCTGGATAAGGACCTGAGCGGGGTGGCCTACGGAGCCTCCATCCCTTACCGCACGGCCATGGGCCGCGGGGCCGACGTGCTGCTGGCCTACGAGATGAACGGCGAGGAGCTGCCACGGGACCACGGCTACCCGCTGCGGGTGGTGGTGCCGGGCGTGGTGGGCGCCCGCAACGTCAAGTGGCTGGGCCGGGTCTCCGTGAGCCCGGAGGAGAGCCCAAGCCACTGGCAGCAGAACGACTACAAGGGCTTCTCGCCCGCCGTGGACTGGGACACGGTGGATTTCACCACGGCCCCCGCCATCCAGGAGCTGCCCGTCCAGTCGGCCATCACGGACCCCGCGCCGGGGGCCACCGTCCCGCCCGGGGAGCTGACGGTCAAGGGCTACGCCTGGAGCGGGGGCGGGCGCGGCGTGGTGCGCGTGGACGTCTCGCTGGACGGCGGCCGGACGTGGCGCGTGGCCGAGCTGACGGGCGAGGAGCAGCAGCCGGGCCGGGCCTGGGCCTGGCGCCTGTGGCAGCTCACGGCCCCCGTTCCCCCCGGCGCCACGGAGCTGGACATTGTCTGCAAGGCCGTGGACGCCAGCTACAACGTGCAGCCCGACACGGTGGAGCCCATCTGGAACCTGCGGGGGGTGCTGAGCAACGCCTGGCACCGCGTCACCGTCACCCTGGCCGAGGATTAACGGGGGGGGCAGGTCCCGGCCGCTCAGTGGGCGCCAATGGCCTGCGGCAGCACAGAGGAGAGTGGGGGGCAGGGGAGACATGCAGGCCCCCCCCCCCCGATGGATGGAGAGGGGTGGCTGAGTTGGGGAGGGAGTCCCTGAAACGGATCCACCCAGCCCCAGGGGGAGCTTGGAGAGGCTGGTTCAGGGACACCCCCCCCGGCCCCTCCAGGGCTTCCTTCCTGTGGGCCTGGCCTGCTGCTCAGGGAGGAGGCAGGGGGGACAGATGGGCTGGCCCCAGGGTGGGGCCCTTGGTGAGATGAGTTTGGTGAGTCTCAGCCTAGTTCCCACCAGGACGGGGGAGAGGGGCCTTAGCACTGAAATACCATTCCAGCTGGCCCCAAGCGGCCCTGTGCTGGCGGCCCCGGCCTGGACCGGGCTGCGGGGCTGGAGCTTATCCCTGGAGGCAGGTCCCCCCCAGCGCGGGCTGGGGCAGGCTGGCATGGGCGGGGGCAGGGAGAGGAAGCTGTTCCTGGCCTGGGGCCAGGACGGCAGCGCCCAGTTCTCCCGCTGGTGCTGTTATTCCTGCCCATGTCGCCCCCATTAACCCAGCGTAAAATCCACCTCCCCCCCACCCCCCCCCGCCCGGCAGCCATCCCCTTCTCCCCACCTGCCCTTAGTGCACGTGCCGGCCTGTGCCCTCCGCCTGCCTTTAGCACGACGTGCCTTCTGGTTCAGAGCCCGTTCATCCTCTGCTCCCCGGCGCTGCCCCAGCCCTCGCCTCCCTCCTGCCGCGGAGCTGGCCTGTTCGCCGACCGATCCACTGCGTCTTGGCTCTGGGCTCCCCCCGCGGCGCGGGGCAAACACCTTGGCTCTTCCCGTCCCATCCCCGGTGCTGTTCCGGGCTGTGCCAAAGTCCGATTGCTTTACGGCCGTGGGGAAGTGTCAGACACAGGCGGCTGTAAAGATTGTGCCGCGTTTATGGACTCGTCTCCTTCATTTACAGGGCAGCTGGCTGCCCCCCGTGGCTTCGGGGGGTTAACCGTTGCCTGGGGTGGAAGTTCTCCTCGCAGCAGGAGCTGAGCATGAGTCTGACGACCTCGTGTCCTGGGCAGGGGAATGTTCCGATTTCTAAACGGATCAAACCACCACAGCCATGCTGCCTAGCCTGGCTCTGCTGGTGCCATCTGCCTCCGGGGCTGGGATCGAGAGATCCTCTGATTTCCCCCCACTAGGAAAATGCTACAGAAATGTCCCCTGTGCTGTGGTCAGTGGCTTTCTCGGCTAGTCAGTCTGCTGAGATGTTCAAAGCCATAAGCTGTATGCTGGCCAGAGATTCTCCACCAGAATGTGTGGCTTCCCCCAGAGTAAAACTATTTTCCCCAGGAAAATTTCAGGTTTTTTCCCCTGACATTTTTCAATTTTCTGTTTGAGAAAATTTTTAAATAAATCTTTTGTCTGAGGCCAACCTGACTCTGACCCGTCTGGTTTGTCAGCTCTCCTGCGATGGTTCGTTGCAGGTTAGTTCCGCATGAATCTGCACCCAGGTGAGCACTGCCTCCTGCTTGTTGTGATTTTTGGTGCCTCAGACCCCATTCTCTATGGCCCAGCTGCCTCAGAACGACTCACCGGGGTATGTGAGCAATTGCTGAAATCAGCCTCGGGACCAGATGCTCGGAGGGTAGCTAATGTGATGCTGATTTTTAAAAAAGGCTCCAGCGGCGATCCTGGCAATTACAGGCCGGTAAGTCTAACATCAGTACCAGGCAAACTGGTTGAAACTATAGTAAAGAACAGAATTATCAGACATGATATGTTGGGGAAGAGTCAACATGGCTTATGTAAAGGGAAATCCTGCCTCACCAATCTACTAGAATTCTTCGAGGGGGTCAACAAATGTGTTGATACAGTTTACTTGGACTTTCAGAAAGCCCTTGCCAAGGTCCCTCACCAAAGGGTCTTAAGCAAAGTAAGGAGTCATAGGATAAGAGGGAAGGTGCTCTCACAGATCGGTAACAGGTTAAACAATGAAACAAAGGATAGGACTAAATGGTCAGTTTTGACAGTGGCGAGAGGTAAATAGCAGGGTCCCCAAGGATCTGTACTGGGACTAGCGCCGTTCAACATCTTCATAAAATGATCTGGAAAAAGGCATAAACAGTGAGGTGGCAAAGTTTGCAGCTGCTACACAATGACTTAAGGTAGTTAAGTCCAAAGCTGGCGGCAAAGAGTTACAAAGGGATCTCACAAAACTCGGAGGCACTGGCTAGGGAAGAAAATAGCAGATGAAATTCAATGTTGATAAATGCAAAGTAATGCACATTGGAAAACATCATCCCAACTCTACATATCAAATGATGGGGTCTGAATGAGCTGTTACCACTCAAGAAGGAGATCTTGGAGTCATTGCGGATAGTTCTCTGAAAACATCCGCTCAGGGTGCACCGGCCGTCAAAAAAGCAAACACAACATTAGCACAGGGGATAGAGAATACAGAAAATATAATGCCCCCATATAAATCCAGCGTAGGTCCACACCTTGAACACGGTGTGCAGGGCCGATCCCCCATCTCAAAAAAAGGATATGTTAGAGAAGGGCAACAAAACTGATGAGGGGGATGGAACAGCTTCCATCTGAGGAGAGATTCAAAAGCCTGGGCCTGTTCTGTTTAGAAAAATGACTGTGGAGGGATATGAGAGAGGTCTATAAAATGAGTGGGGTGGAGACAGGTAATAAGGAAGTGTTATTTGCCCCTTTGCATTGCACAAGAACCAGAGTCCCTCAATAAAATGAATAGGCAGCAGTTTTAAAAATAAACATCAGGAAGTATTTCTTCACACAACACACAGTCGGCCTGTGGAACTCCTTGCCAGGGGATGTGGTGAAGGACAAAGTATAACTGGGTTAAAAAAAGAACTAGATACAGTTCATGGAGGATGGGTCCATCAACGGCTATTAGCCAAGATGCTCAAGGATGCAACGCCGGGCTCTGGGTGTCCCTAGCCCCTGACTGCCGGAAGCTGGGCCTGAATGACTGGGGATGGATCACCCACTAAGTGCCCTGCTCTGTTCATTCCCTGAGTCACCTGGCACTGGCCTCAGCTGGAAGACAGGAGACTGGGCTAGATGGACCATTGGTCTGACATAGGATGGCTGTTCTTATGTACACCTCCAAAGATGCACCATGGTGCATCATGGGAGGTGTAGTCCATCTGGGGAGCTTGTCCCATAGAGGAGAATGGGGCACAAGGCACCCAGACTACCCCTCCCTTGAGGCATTGCAGCAGCTGGGGTGGGACATGGCTCGGTGGCGAAACACGATGGCTTAATGTTTCCAGATTGAGATGTTTCAGAACTTTCCGTTCCACGATTTTTTTTTTTATGTCAATGTTTTGGTCTGATTCGGGATGCAAACAACTGTCAAAATCTCAGAATTTCCTTGGGCTCAGGTCTAATCAAAGCAGAAAGTGGGGATCCCCCCCGCCCATCCCCAGAACCGGCTCATCAGCTCTTGGTGCCGCTTGTCTCTCCAGTGCCCTGGCTCCAGGCTCTCTTGCCCTAGCATGAGGCTGCAATGTCAGGCCAGCCTCCGGGGAAAGCAGCCGTCTTTAAACCCGGCTCCCTGGGAGATCGGACTCGGACGCTGGGCCCCTCTGCTTTCACCGCTTTCCACCTAGGTGCAGGTTTCGCAGCCAACTTTGCCAGGTGCAGGCCTGGCCAGCAACAGGCCAGAAGGCTCCCAGCTCCCTCTGTGCCTGGCCTTTCTCTTCCCCACTCCCTCTAGCCTCTTTCCAGCCCTGGCTAACACAGGCAGACGCAGGGCTATCCAGCCAGTCCCAGTCCATTCCCCTAGATTGGGGCTGATCAAGTGTTTCTCACTCAGCCCCATCACCGCCCCGCTGGGCACAGCCCCGCTTGGCACCGGCGCCTGGCACCGGCGCCTGCCACAGCTTGCTCCCTGCGAAGGTGTAAGGGCTTGTGAGTTTGGGGCTGGGTGGGGGATTGAGACCCCGGGGGCTCTCTGCGGTGGGGTGCAGGGACGCCGCCTCGGGGATTACAGGCTGGTTGTCTCGTAGCAGGAGAGCTGCAGGTGGTTTGGGCGGGGGGCTCCTTCCCCCTGGAATAGCTGAAGGAAGCTGCTGGTGCAGGAGAAGTTTAGGCTCTTCCCCCTCCTGCCTGGAACCCCGGGCACCCGGGCAGCCCGTCGCCCAGCGTCTGTCACTAACTCACTGCTGATCTCTGACCCGGCCTGAGCCGTGTTGGGCACGTTTCTCTGGGCGGGTGGAACTGGCTGCGTCCAGCCCTGCGGGCCTGGCTGTTACGTATTCAGCAGCCGGAGCACGTGCATTTTAATAAACCTCCCTGGCTAGTGGGCTGAAGCCGCGGAGGGTCCGTGAAGCATCAGCTTGTGCACCTTGTAGGATCCCCATCAATATCGGACCCCGGGGCAGGACGGAGCTGGCACCTGTGCAGGCAGGGAAGGTCGAACAGAGCCCTGCCCGCTCTCTCACTCCCTCCTGGCGCGGGGAGCCGGGGTGGCTGTTCCGATTCCGGATTTCACACGTTTCCGCGGCCGGGAAGGCTAGTGGGCAGCTGGTGCAGAGCGGTTCCAGGGCCCCGAGCCCCAGTGCAGGTGGGGTGGGAATACACAGCGCTGGCTCGGCCCCCGCAGGGGCAATAGGGGCGTCGTTGGGGCAGCTGTGTCGGGCCTGCGATGGGAAGACGGGCCCGCGTTGGCACGTAGTGGCCCTGGGGGAGGGCTGCGGACACGGGGCCGCTAGCAGACCGGTTGTGTCGAAAGTCAGGAGCGGTTGGTAGGCACCAGGCTCCAGTGCTACGGGACCCAGTGATACTGCACCCTGGAGTGGGGGCTTCCGGGGGCTGCCGAGAAGCTCTGACACACACCCCCTTTTGGCTAAGCCACCAAACCAGCCCCGAGCCGGGCGGGGAGGAGCCCGCCAGGGGTGTGCTCTGGGCTCGCCGGGAGCCTGCAGATGTGGGGTCGGGGTGGGCCAAAGGAGTGGTTGTGGGTTGGTTCCAGAACCTCACCCCTCCAGGATACGCCCACCCACCTGCCCCGGCTTGGCACCCACCCGCCCAGGAAGGGGAAGGACACAAGGGCACGCTTGGTGGGTCTGGTTTAGAAGGGGCGAGGGGTGGTAGAAGCCCGAGTGCACGGAGAGGGAGGGAATGCGGCATTCCCGCGCCCGGGGGCTTCTCCTCTCACAGGCAGAGCAGAGCGCCTTGGCTTGGGGCAGGAGGGGGGCGAGGGGCTGACGGCTCAGTGGGACCCAGGAATGCTGAGGCGTGTGGGGGGTGGGGGTGTCAGGCCGTGTCACCAGCTGGCATTGCCCGGGTTTGACTGACTGTGGTGGAATTCTCCCCTCAACAGACAGCGTGTGATAGAGCCTCTGGGAGGCAGCAGGGCCTAGTGGAGAGAGCCTGCCCCTATGTTTATGCAGCACCTGGCACAGCGAGGTCCAGTCACAGTCGAGGCATCTAGATTCCCCTGTAACGCGAGTGGCAGGCGTAGCGGATCTGAGCCAACCTCCCTTGGAGTCAGCGGAACTCACTTCCACAGGCTTTAGATCGGGCCCGTAAACAACCACCCTAGAAACTGGGCTACTCACCTGGCCCTGGGCCGGTGACAGTGATTCGTGGCTAATGGATTCGTCGGTATGTGCTGTGTGAGTGGGGGGTTCACAGGGCGGGGAGCTAGACCTGAGACTGTTGCCTGTGTTAATAATCAGGGGAGGCCGGGAGCCGTGGAAAGCCGCTCTGCAGCGGGAAGATGTGCCACCACTGCCGTCTTTCCATGGGCCTGTTAATAAAAGAATGTTACCTTCCTTCTCTAGCTGCTAGCACTTTCTAGCCTCTCTACCCGCCACTGAAATGCAGCCACCTCTGGGGTGGAACGTGGCAGCTGTAGAACAGCCGGTGACAAGGCTGCAATGATTCCAGGTGGGGAAATGAAGAGGAACATTGTACACCATTGAAACGACAAAAGGAAACAGACGATAATGATCCGGGCCAGGGCACTGAGGCGAATACAGACTGTGTCCTGGGGTCTTTGTCATCTATCTCTGGTGCACTGACCCTCAAAGGGCCTAACTCCCATTGACATCAGCCAGCACTGCCCATCTGCCCTCCTTGGATTTCAACGGGAATTAGGTGCCTAAATGCCTGAGGATCCAGCCCTCCGTGCTAGCTCCAAGGGAAGACTGCCACCTACCGAGTCACCAACGCACTTCAAGTGATGAAGGGCCCAGGTTGCTTAGGGAGAAATGCAGATGAGCCCGGCTACCTAGGAATCAGACCTGACCCCCGGGGTAACTGACACAGCATCATTCACCAAGAACACAGCGCTCACTGTGGAAATAGCAGGGGCCTTCAAATAACATGATGTAGGCAACAGAGGGTCCCCTTCATGGCACATACGTCAAAACTTCAGATTTCATGCAGCGAGCC